TTTATGGCCAGTTTTGGGGCCAGTTTATGGCCAGATTTTTGGGGGCTTGCTCCCAACCCCCCATTTTGAGTCCTTAATCTGTATTATCAGTAAATAACATTCTTTTCAAATGATTGACGTAACTCCTGCAAGCTCTGCCTACATCTGCCCACTGGCAATTGACACTTTGTCCAAGCCCCACACAGGAGCACTTACAGTGGCGTGTACTAAGAAAGGGTATCTCTTAGTCTTGGGCCACAGAAGGGAAATCGATATTTTAGTTCCGATAGGAAGGATGGAGAGGAGTTGGCCAGGACAAGAGTTGGGGCCCAAGTTAGGCAAGCAGAAGGAAGAGCCCAGGGCAGCTCCTGCATGGGTCCAGTTCCCTAGGTGGTATGAAGCTTGGTAAGCAAGGGGCTAAGGAAGCCACTGGGGCAGAGCCACATGAGCAGGATTGGCAGAGGGAGAGGTGAGGATGGCAAAGCAGGCAGGAAAGGGTGGAGGGCGCCGCGGCTTAGGCAAGGAGTTCAGACAGTCGAGGAATGATGGAAAGCCAATGGGGGCAGCTTTGCTTTGGGATCCAACAATGACTGTTGGTACCCAGCTCTGCCATTTACTAGGTGAGGGACCAAAGACAAGTTACGTTCTCTGAGCCAATTTCCTTATCTATAAAATGAGAATAATAATTGTATCTTCTTTGGTGGTGAGGACTCAGTGCAATGATGTATTTGTAAAGGGCTCTGCATGTCCTGTGGACTCAGCAAATGTTAGCCATATATAAATAAATGCAGATTCTGGATCCAGCCCCCAAAGTAAGGAAAGACTGGTCCTCAGGTGCCCTTGCTGGAAAAAGCGGGATGGAAAAAGTGGGATTCTTTTATTTTTTGTAGAGTCTCACTCTGTCATCTACGATGTAGTGAGTGGCGCGATCTCAGCTCACTGCAACCTCCACCTCCTGGGTTCAAGCAATTCTCCTGCCTCAGCCTCCCGAGTAGCTGGAGCTACAGGTGCACACCACCACGTCCAGCTAATTTCTTTTGTATTTTAGAAGAGATGGAGTTTCACTGTGTTGTCCAGGCTAGTCTCGAACTACTGAACTCAGGCAATCTGCCCGCCTCAGCCTCCCAAAGTGCTAGGATTACAGGCATGAGCCACTGTGCCTGGTCATGATTCTTGATAAAGTGGCTTTGTAGGATTCTTGCCTAAAACTCGGCTCACCAGGCCGAGACAAGGCATAGTTGAAAGGAGGATGCAAAGGAGCCTGACTCCACTTTAGGAGAGACGCTTGTCAGCTGTTCTATCCTTAGCATCCAGAAGTGAGTGGCACATAGTGGGGCTTCGGTCAATCATTGGTAAATTGGTAAATGAATGAACCATTCTGAGAAATTTTCTTAAAAAAAAAAAAAGGCCCTAATTGAATGAGAGAGATACATTTTCCTCCCTTAGCTTTCTAATTCCTGGAGTTAATAAATAGAAACATATATTTTCCCTAGAAAATAATACATTTGTTAAAACAGATTCAGCCTACTTTCATTTTCTATGTCAGCAAATGGTGAGGAAATAATGTTTTTAGTGTTCTAGATGATGTACTTTTCTAACATGCTTTTTATTTGTATGAAATAAAAACAGGATTATTTGGAAACAAATAGCTATCCAAAGTCACATAAAATACGCCTTTCATATTTTGCTTATCAGTTTCTGGTGGCAGGTGTCAATCTAAGCAGTACATTAGAATCACTTGGGGGCTTCTAAAAATCCCAATGCCAGGACCACACTCAGGGCAATTAATTCAGAATCTCTGAAGCTGGGACCCAGGCACCTTCACTTTTCTTTTTCTTTTTTTGGTATTAACTTTATTCTATTTTCTGTATAACTTTAAGTACATAAAGTTTTATTTCCACAGGCCTCAGGAAATGGGTAGAAATCTCAGGACAATCTCTTTTCCCACCAAAAAAGTTGCATATTTTGGTAAGTGTTTGTCCTAGAGGGAAAAAACTGAAATTTACATTAGCAGTGCTGTGCAAGATTCTTACATAAATCAAGACCTAAAAGCAGCTTGCAGTGGAGGTTTTGGTCCCCTGTTCAGGTGCTTGGACAGAAGCCATAAGCTGGTGAGCATGACAAGGAAAAGGAGGCAGTGAAGACAGGTGACAGGCACCTAGCAGGGAAGGAGGATTCAGGTGTGCCAGACTCCTTGGAATGGCGTGTTGTTTTTCCTTTTTTTTTTTTAAAATCTCTGTAGGAAGGTGCTGGGTAGGGATCCCAGAGAAAGAAAGGGTCCAATACTTCTTTAACTGCCTTGGATGAAGGGCACTGCTGTAGCAGCTAGTATCGGAGACTCTCCTATCTCATGGTTGAGGCAGAACTAGGATAGAATAGTGAATAAAAGGAATGCTTATAGGAAACCATTTTGCGTGGAATGCTAGATGGCCAAGCCTCAGCCTTCAGTCCAGTGTAACCCTTGCCTCATTTGTCAATAATGAAAAATTAGTTTGGTTAGAAGAACCAGTTGGAAACACACCAGCTTCTGCTACCTTCATGCTCATCATTAGAAAAAGATTAACCAGTGTGAACATTCTGATCTGTTAATTCCTTGGACTGTTTTCCTCCCAATGGACTGTTTGTTGGTAGAATAACCTCCAAAACTCAAAGCTAAAATGCATCATTTTAGCCTGGTCGGCAGTTCCTTAAGAATGGACTGGTGGCATGGTTGAGCTAATATGGAAAAGCTATACCTTCCTGCAGAAGATCACCTGACCTGCTATCCCACTGCAAATCTCAGCCTGAGGTATAATTCAGTGAAGGCAGGTAGCTGTGCTTCTCAGAGCAGAGAAGCAGTTTTAAGAGCAGAAAGGTAGAGGAAATCTAGAAAAGAACCGTCTTGATACAAATTTATCCCATGGTATGAAGGGAGGGCAAAGAACCCAGTGGCACTTTGCTTATCCAGCAATTTCTGTCACTGTAGTGACCAACTTCTGCCCATTCCAGAGGGTCTTGAACTGCTCAGGAACTGGGAATTCACAAAAGTCACTGCCTATTGTAGGAATGAGGACGTTCATCTCAGAAGATTTGGCACTCACTATTTCACAATCCAGAGAATTCTTCCACAGGTAAGCATGGCAGCCATCTGTTTTGTTGATTGAAATGGTTGGCACTTTACTCATTACCTAAACTTTGACATCCCTACTTGTTGGGAGCAAGCCCCCCCCTAAATCTGGCCATAAACTGGCCCCAAAACTGGCCATAAACAAAATCTCTGCAGCACTGTGACATGTTCATAATGGCCCTAATGCCCATGCTGGAAGGTTGTGGGTTTACAGGAATGAGGGCAGGGAACACCTGGCCTGCCCGGGGCAGAAAACAGCTTAAAGGCATTCTTAAGCCACAAATGAAAGCATGAGTGATCTGTGTCTTTAAGAGTGTGTTCCTGCTGCAGTTAACTAGCCTAACCTATTCTTTTAATTCGGCCCATCCCTTCGTTTCCCATAAGGGATACTTTTAGTTAATTTAATATCTATAGAAACAATGCTAATGACTGGTTTGCTGTTAATAAATATGTGGGCAAATCTCTGTTCGGGGCTTTCAGCTCTGAAGGCTGTGAGACCCCTGATTTCCCACTTCACACCTTTATATTTCTGTGTGTGTGTCTTTAATTCCTCTAGCACCGCTGAGTTAGGGTCTCCCCAACCAAGCTGGTCTCGGCACCTACTGTTGATTATCTCCATAATGCCCACTATATCATCGAATACCAGACCAAATTTCTTACAGTTATCTACTGTAATGGAGTTAATTTTGCCCTTGATTTGCAATGTCGTGTTGACACACTTGTATATGTAAGCTGCGTGTTTCAGCTGTGTCATCAATCACCAGGTTGGAAACATTTTCCTGATTTTCCACTGTCTGCTTCTTGCCCTCCAGTTCAAGTACAGCTGGCTCTTTCTTTGTGGCTGGTTTGGGGTCTAGGTGCAGAGAATGGCTTGGGGACACTGCATACTGGACCACTCTGAGCCTTCAGGGTAGGGTTCTTGTGAGTCTTCATGTCATCAGATACATGTTTCAGGGCATTTGTGATGCTCTTCCCCTGATTAATCTGCGCAAACAGTGCTGAGAGGGAAGTGGATTCATCTGAGCCTGAACTGATAGAGACTAGCGGAGGAGGGGGGCCTGGTGGTGGGGGAGGAGTAGCTGATCCAGCAGAGGGTCCAGATGGCAGTCCACTCAGTTCTTTTGCCACAGGCCCCGTTTTGCTCCAGGCTAGTCCGGTGGTATGGAACTCCTTAATGTAAGCCTACAGCTCTGTCCGTATACTTAAATAAGCTTTGACCCAGTCTACATGCATCTTATCCACATCTTTGTACTCTTTAAGGACTCGGTTTGTATAAAACACTGCAGCATGATTCATTTCTTTCACATAAGGGCCAGGATTGGGAGCCATAGCCACCCAAACCAGGGCCTGGATACTTTCGCTGACAGCTGACAGGTGATTAAACAACTTGCTGCCTCGGTTCTTCTCCCGAAAGGTTATCACTTCTTTGATCTGTTCTGAGATGGGTGCCAACAAATCGGAAAGCTGCCGGCTGTTGACACTGAGAAGCTGTAACCAAGAGAGTTCACTTCAACTTCAAACCTGTGTGGACCATCTCCGCATCTTTCTGCACGTCTCCCCCAATCTCTTTACTGATCTTCAAGTACTCTGCCACAGGACAGGCAAGCGAGTCAAATGCCTGCGCATACGGAGCTGTTCCTGCTTTTGAAGGACTGTCTCCATACCCACGGTGCATGTCAGAGGTATGGCATACTGCCTCTAGGCAGCCCACTGCCCTGTCCAATTTTTCTACCAGATTTTGCATATCAGTCATAATGTACCACCTCCCGATTGCGATCAGCCGCTCTCCACTTCCCGCACCTTCACTTTTCAAAGATTCCCAGGTGATGCCAACCTGCTCTGCGGATGGAGCCCCTAAGACTCCCGAGCGACGCAGACTACGTTTCCCAGAGGCCTCCGCGGCCGCAGCCACTTCCGCTTCCGGTCCGGTCCGCCCCCGCGTGGGGCGAGAGCTGCACCAGCAGCTGGCTGGTAGCTACTGTCTGGACAGCGTGGCGTGGTCGCTGTCTCTCTGGGTGTGCAGCTCCGCAGCCCTGCCGGCTAGGTTTGGTTTGTCAGCGGCCGCCACCAGGCTGGGTCCCTGAAGCCTCGGGCCCCTGGCGGGTGCTCCTCGCCTTTCCCAGGGGCGGGTCGAGGGGCGAGCCGGGATGGGAGGGGACGGCGGCGGTGGGCAGGGCCTACCCACAGTGGCTGAGCCATGTGGAGCGACCGCCCGAGACTGGTGCATCACAGAGCGCTCCAGGCTTGCGCCCTGGCAGACAGATTGGGCCACTGACAAGGCCGTCCCCCCGTGCTGCCAAAAGTGCTTGGCGTGGAGCTGGCTGCAGTCCAGGACGGATCCCAGCAGCCGTTCCTTTTCCTTTCTTCCTGAGCGTACCCACCTGGACCTGTCTGCCCACCCGTGGAGGGAACGGGCGGGCGGGGGCCTGGTCCAGAGGGCAGATTCTAGCTAGGCTAGGGCACGGAGGGACTTCCTCATATTTCCTCTCTTCTTTCCCAGATTGACTTACGCAGAATTCTCTGCCCTTGCCTGGGAGAACAGTTCAGGAGACAGATGGCCCCAAGAGCCCAGATCCAGGCAAGTTTGATTTTTCCATTTCTTGAGAAGCCACGTGTTTCAGCGAGGTGGGGCTTATGCTTCTTGCCCAGAGGATGCCCTGCCCTGTGTGTGGACCAAGCTACCTGAACCAATCCTGGATGGGTCTCACTATTTCCATCCTCTCTACCCATTAGGTAGTCGTTCACCAAATAGATTATTGCTACCCATGTTTTCTAGAGTGCTAGAAACAGAAAAGTACTTTGCAACCTGGCAGATGATGAAAAAAATACATATTAGCATATAAAGACGTAGGCCATAAAGACATAGGGTGATAGCAGTGCTCTCTTGACCTTTAGTGTGTGGTGGGGTGGGAGGGGTGGAGTAGTGGAAGCCTTAGTTCTTCCTGAAGAATATAAATGAGATGCGTAATCGCAGAGGATACTAGGGGAAAGCGCTGCCTGAATGAAGTCATTATGGCAGAACCATGAACAAACTGGCCTGAGAAAGTTGGAAACATTCATGGTCTAGAATCCCAGACTGGAGTTTGCCTTTATCCTGGAGAAAACTAGGTTTTGAAGGATTTTGAGAAACTGATTATGTAGTTGGTATTTTGAAAGAAAGTGATAAACATTTGAGTATCTATTATAGAAGTAAATAAAATTAAAAAAATTAAAGATTAGCTACATTTCTACTGTTCTAACAAGTCAAGTAATTTCATTTGAAACACCTTTTGCATATTTTTAAGGCCTACTCTTTTTTCTTTTAATATTTCATAACCATTCCAATTTGTTCTAGTTTCATTCCTACTTTTTATAGCTTCCTTTTATACTGTACCTTCAACCAGCCCTGGGACCTTGAGCAAGTTCTTCCAACTCTCTGAACCTTTGTGTCTTTAGCTACAAAATAGATTTTACTTTATATAGTTATGGCAGAAATTTAGAGAGATGATATATATCTCAGGGTTTAGCACCGTGGGTGGTACCTAGTAAGTTGTTACTGTTATGAAAAGCAATTTTTTTTTCTTTTTTAAAAATATTCTGCCCCAGAGTTAGATCATACTCCCTGTAAATTTTCGGATAAAGCTAATCACTTTCCATGTCTTTTCAAAGTTTCTATTCATTTGTTGATGGAACAAAGCCTGAACACTTTTGTGTCAGGCCGTGTTTTTGACTGGGAGGCAACAGTGACCCACACTGTCCCCCTGGAGCTCACATTAGAGAGGATGCTTACAGTCAGTGCAAACCTCTCCTGCCAGGTGGTGAGAAATCCTGTGAAGAAAAATGAAGTGGGTTTCGAGACAGAGTGGCAGAGGATGGGGTGGAGAAAGAGACCTTTTTGACAAGGTGACATGAAGGGTGGGGTGAGCAGAGGCCAGGCATGGAGGAGGAAGCAGGACAGGCATGCAGGAAGAACACACTTGAGGGAGGAGTCCCACCTCCCCCCAGCCCGCAGCTTTTACTTGTTCATTTCCATGAGCACCGTTGGAACTGTCAGAAGCTGGCTTTGACCACCTTGCTTCCTTCTCTTGGGATGCTTCCCTTAGGGGTTCCTGGATGACCAGAATTGGGTTTGGTTTTGCAGGGACTGCTGACATTTGGGGATGTGGCCGTGGCCTTTACCCGGATTGAGTGGAGACACCTGGATGCTGCTCAGCGGGCCCTGTACAGGGATGTGATGCTGGAGAACTATGGGAATCTGGTGTCTGTGGGTGAGGATGACTTTCTCGTTGACTCAAGATTGGTCTGCTGGGCAACCTTGTGTTTTCACAGGGTGAATGGTTTGGGGTATTGAAAAAAATCTTAAATGATGTGTTTTTTGTTTTGTTTTTCTTAAGTGTGGGCTTAGAGGCTGGAGTTTATGCCCCTTCCACCCCTCAAGAAAGGTCAGAGCCATACAGAGTTAAGATGGGTAGCTTTGTGGTACCAACTAGCCCAGTTCTGGAACGTTTCTGTGTCATGATTCATCTGCCTCCCAAAATAGGAGTTTCTCGTCCTCCAGGAGGACCTGGTTTTCTAATTGACTTTGCCCCCTTCATTTGCTTTACTGCATGAGTTGGACATCCTGGGTGCCACCCTCGAGGCCTCTCTAACCTGTCCGTGCTCCTTGCAGATGCTCAAGTTGACACTGAGGTCTGGAGTGACTGTTTGTGCTTGTAACCACCATCACATTCCTTTTCATTCATTTTTTTTCTTCTTCTTCTAAGATCCTTTTTCTTTATGAACAGGGCTTCTCTCTTCCAAACCAAAACTAATCACTCAGTTGGAGGAAGGGGCAGAGCCCTGGATGGAGGTGCGAGAGGCTCCATCAGGCCCACGTGCAGGTGAGTGGGTGGGAAACATCCCAGCAGCAGCGGAGCACACGGAACGGTACGGGGGCTCCTGAGTGGAAAGCTCATCTCTGAGTGCCCTGTCGGTGCAGAAGGGCACTAGTTTCCTCTTTTGATGTCATCCTCCTGTGAAGTGGCTGGCTGCTTTTCTCCCCAGTCTTTCTGTACTTGGGAGGGCTTCTCCCTTCCTGAGGGCCTCAGGCCCATCTGTGCCATCTCCCAGCCCTCTGAAATCCTCAAGCTCTTTATGTGATTTTTCTCTCTCTCTTTCCAGGCATTCACCAGGCTATCTTTTGTTTCTTTCTACTTCTGGTCCATTTCCTTTCTTTTATATTTTTTGAGACAGAGTCTTGCCCTGTTGCCCAGGCTGGAATGTAATCATAGCTTACTGCAAACTCAAACTCTGGACTCAAGCCATCTTCCCGCCTCAGACTCCTGAGTAGGAGTAGCTGAGACTACAGGCGTGCACCACTATGCTTGCCTAATTTTTAAATTTTTATTTTATGTAGAGATGGTGTCTCGCTATATTAGTCATGGCTGGTCTCGAACTCCTGGCCTCAAGTGATCCTTCCACCTTGGCCTCTCAAAGTGCTGGGATTACAGGTGTGAGCCACCACACCTGGCCCCTGTTCATTTTCCATTCCTTACCCACTCTCATGGAAGCTTGCTAACTCACTGTATACCGCTTCCTGGTGGTAGTCGCAGATTCCAAATGTAAGCATGGTTTTCTAGCTCTCAGGTAATTGCGATTTTGGCGAACACATTGTTGGGGAAGCATTTTCTTTCCTTTTCTTACGAATCTTCTTTTATTTCTCTTTTCTACTGTCCTTTGCTCTTGGCTCCCATTTTTTTCTGTGTATGCTTTGTATATGTTTCTCTATATCACTTTCTCTGTGCCATAGTTCATTTCTAAATCTCTAAGCCTGAATATTTCTCTCACCTAAAATATTTATCCTGCCAGTATTTCTTCTTCTAAAACTCTAATTGTCATTTTGCCTCTGTCATCCTCAGGAGAATGTTTATAACTGTATTTCATGTAAAATAGTAGTAATACATAGTCTTGCTTAACCTAGGTCTTTGCTGGTTGTGGGTGGGATGCTTTTGAAGTAATTCCTTCTATTCTTACTATGTTTAACATTTCCCTGTAAATTCTTGTGTAGATTCTTTATATAGTAACAAAAGTCGCTCAGTCTTCTTTATTCTCTGTTCTTTCTGTTTTAATTTTGGTTGTTATTTGAAATAGAATGTTTAAAACTTAGAGGTAATGAAAACAAGCAATGTTTCCCCTAATATTTCTTTCATCTGCTTAGAGGACTAGTAAATCTTTCTACAAAGACTTTACAACCATTCAGTATTTTATGGTTTTTTTTTTGTGTGTGTGTGTATATTTCCCTTTCTGTTAGTTGTTAGACATGCTTATGGTACCACATTCAGATGGTTCAAATGGTATGCAGTCTCCTTCACATACCTTTCTCATCACTCAGTTCCCCTCCCCAGAGGCATCCCTGTATCAGTTTCTTGTGGAGATTTGCATATGTGATGTGTACTTTGTGAGAGTATCCATGAATTCTTTAAGTACATGGTAGCACGCTCTTTTGCCTGTTACTTTGGCATTTATGTCTTAGAAGTCATTTGACATAACTATATTGTTTAGAGCTTCTCTCTCTCTCTCCTCTCTCCCTCTCTTTCTTTCTTTTGGAAACAGAGTCTCACTCTGTTTCCTAGACTGAAGTACAGTGGCTTGATCATGGCTCACTGCAGCCTTCACTTCCTGGGCTCATGCGATCCTCCTGCCTCAGCCTCCTGAGTAGCTGGGACCACAGGAGCATGCCACCACACCTGGCTAATTTTTTTTATTTTTAATTTTATTTATGTATTTATTCTTAAATGTGTTTTTGTAGGGATGAGATCTCACTATTTTGTCCAGGCTGGTCTGGAACTCGTGGCCTCAAGCTGTCCTCTTCCCTCAGTTTCCCAAAGTACTGAGATTACAGGCATGCGCCACCATGCCAGCTTATCTTTCTTTTTAATGCCTGCATAGTGTTCCACTTTATGGATGTCCTATAATTTATGTAATCAGTTCTCTTTAGTGGACATAATGACTCTGACCAGTGTTGCAGTGGTTATCCTCATACACATCAATTCTCTTGTGTACAAGTAAATCTGTAGAATAAATTCCTATAAGAATTGTTAAAGGTTAAAATTTTAAAATCCACCAAATTTGGTGGGTATTTCCACTATTCATAGAGATAGTACATGTTTATACTCCTAATGACAACATATGAGTGCCACTTTTATCATCGCTTGTCAACGGTGTCTTATATGCTTTGATCCTTGCCAGTCTGAGAGGTGAAAGTATTTTATTGTAATTTTAATTTGCCTTTTTCTTATCAGGAGCGTGATTTAGCATGTTTCAACATTTTCAGCAACCCTTGTGTTTATTTTTCCTGAGAACTGCCTGTTCCAGTCCTTTGCCCATTTTACTGTTAGATTGTTGGACAATAAAAATTGTCAATGTGAAGGCTTCTTTATACATTCAGGAAATTAATTGTGTATCATATATATCACAGATTTTTTTTTAAAAAGTTTGTTTTATATCAACTTTATATTAACAAAGGTAATGATGGATATGCTTATCTTTGCATCTTTGCATTGTGTCTGGGCTTCTCATTTAAGCTGGCTATTGAGTTGGGATACACATACATTGTTATTTAAAGGAAGTATTTCGTTCATATGTTTTGTTAAGAAATTTTAGTTTTTTAAATCAAGCATGATTGCTGAATTTTATTAAATGCTCTTTCAAGATATGTGGAAATATCTGTCTTTTCCATTTTGATCTGTTTGTGTGGTAGATTTTATTCTCAATTATCTTGACCATGACACATTATATCATTCTCTGAATGTGACAGTAGATGATTCCATTTGCTAATCTTTTATTTAAATTTTTGCAGAGAGACTTAAATGTATTTACATTTTCTTTTTCATCTGCCCATTTTCATTGGGCTTTGACTTTAATTTTGTAATACTTTCATAAAACATTTTTTGGTCTTTCATATTTTTATCCTTTAGTCTAGTTTAACTCACATGATAGCTGTTCCCTAGAGGTTTGGGTCCTTTGTCCCGTTTTTGCTTATTTATTGTGATGGGAGCAGAAGGGAGGAATTGGGGGTATTTTTTTGACAGTGTTGTCAGTAGTGACTTGTCCAAATAGATTTTCTCTCTCTAGGAAACAGTTTTAGTAATTTATAATTTCCTAAAAACTATGGAGTAATTCAAGGTTGTAAGTTATTTGTGTTAAACAAAGTAGCTTTTTATAACTCTTTTAGTAATATCCTCTGCATCTTTGGTTATTTTCCCTGATTTCTTACTTTGTCTTTTTCCCATTTCCTATGTTTTCCTATTTCCCCTTTATTAGCTCTGTTTTATTTTTTTGAAGAAGAGCATTTGGGTGTATTTATTAGTGTTACTGTTTTCTGTGTTTTGAGTCTTAAGTTCCTTTTCCCTTTTGCTTTCCTTGGGTTTATTTACTTTTTCCTAAACATTTTAGTTATTCATTAATTGATTTTTCTTCTTTCTTATTGATGTAATGTAAATATTTAAAGCCTTAAACTTTGTCTATGTAATGTTTTAGTTATATTCAGTAGGTTACAATATGTAGAGTTGTCATTATTTTTTAGTTATTTTGCAATTTGTGTTTTGATTTCTGTGATTGAAGTACTAAGATATTTATAAGCTAGACTCTCCTTTTCTTTCTTAAAGCCTTTAAAAAAATTAACACATATTTAGAAAAGCTGATAAAATATGTGTACAGCCCAAATTAGTATTTTAAAACTCAATACCCATGTAACCAAAACTTAGGTTAAAAAATAGAACTTTGGCAATACCTGAGTAAATCGCATCATAATTCCTCCCAGTTATTACCCATTCTCCTCCCCTTGAACTAACACTATAGTTTATTTTTGCCTTTTTTTAACTTTATGTGAATGGAATCATATAGTACATATAATTTTTTTGTCTGGCTTATGCATAACATTTTTTCAAATTCATTCATCATTTTTATTTATTTCTTTGCTGTGGATCCATGCTTCTGAAAACTCTAGCGTGCCTCAGAATGCATGCTGCAGTACAGTTGTGGGGCCCCCTGCAGAGTTCTTTATTCAGCAGGTTCTCAGGCATGCTGATGCTGGTGCTGTGGGGCTGGAGCCCATGCTTGGAAAATCACTGCTGTGGAATGTCTCATTGTGTGACTCTACCTCAGTTTCTGTCTTATATTCAGATGCGTATATGCCATTTTCCAGCTTTTGGCTATTAGAAGTGCTGTAAACATTCTTATAAATTATTTTTTGGTTCCTATGTGGCTACATTTCTGTTGGGCATGTATTCAGCTTTAGTATATAATGTCAAATGATCTTCCAGAGTTTTGTACCCAGTTATACTCCTTCATCAGTGTGTGAGAGCACTCCTTGTCCCATGTCCTGGCTAGCACTTCCTGTGGTCAGTCTTGTGAAGTTAGTCATTCTGGTGGATGTGCAGTGTGCCTCATTGTGGTTTTCATATCCATGTCTCTATATCTAATGAGGTTAAAGACATTTTAGGGCTGGGCACAGTGCTTCTTGCCTGTAATCCCAGCACTTTGGGAGGCTGAGGTGGGCGGATCACCTGAGGTCAGGAATTCGAGACCAGCCTGGCCAACATGGTGAAGCCCTGTCTCTACTAAAAATACAAAAAATCAGCTGGGTGTAGTGACACATGCCTGTAGTCCCAGCTACTTGGGGAGCTAAGACAGGAGAATTGCTTGAACCTGGGAGGTGGAGGTTGCGGTGAGCTGAGATTGCGCCACTGCACTCCAGCCTGGGTGACAGAGTGAGACTCCATGTCAAAAAAAAAAAAAAAAAAAAAAGACCTTTTAGAGTATTTATTGGTCCTTATAGAGCATCTCTGATTGGGTAGCTATTTCAAGAGCCTGTTACTGATTACATGTATTGTACCACCCTCTCTGTATTGTTACTGACTGTTAATGGTCTTGATGAATAGCAGTTATTCCTTTTTCAGGGCTCAAACAATCCTGTCTCAGCTTCCTGAATAGCTGGGACTACAGACACATGCTACCATGCTCAGCTAATTAAAAACATGTTTTTTTTTTTTTTTTTTTTTTTTTTTTTTTTTTTTTTTTTTTTTTTGAGACGGAGCCTCGCTCTGTCACCCAGGCTGGAGTGCAGTGGCCGGATCTCAGCTCACTGCAAGCTCCGCCTCCCGGGTTCACGCCATTCTCCGGCCTCAGCCTCCCGAGTAGCTGGGACTACAGGCGCCCGCCACCTTGCCCGGCTAGTTTTTTTGTATTTCTTAATAGAGACGGGGTTTCACCGTGTTAGCCAGGATGGTCTCGATCTCCTGACCTCGTGATCCGCCCGTCTCGGCCTCCCAAAGTGCTGGGATTACAGGCTTGAGCCACCGTGCCCGGCCAACATGTTTTTTTTTTGTAGAGATGGAGACATGCTATGTTGCCCAGGTGGGTCTGGACTTCCTGGCCTCAAGCCATCCTCCTGCCTCAGCCTCCCAAAGTGCTGGGATTATAGGCATGAGCCACTGTACCCAGCCGAGTTCTTCCAGTTGATCAATCTCTTTCTTCTTTGTCAGTGCTTTTTTGTGTCATGCTTTATTTAAAATGCTTATTTTAAATTATATATTATTAACAATTATTTATTAACATTTATTATTTTTGTGATTTTAATATTTTTTCTTTTCCCAAGATCACGAAGATATTCTTCTGTGTTAATTTCTAGAAGCTTTATTATGTGTTTTTTTTTGTTTGCATTTACCATCCTCTTGGAATGGATTTTTGTGCATCATATGAGGTAGGGTTTATATTTATTTTTTTCTCCTGAAATGTGCTAATGCAGAGCCTCCTCTTCCTCACTGCTTTGCAAGACCACCTTTGTCATAGAACAAGTACCCATATGTGTCTTCACGTTGGCAGCGTGACAATCAGTATCTTGAAATATTCTCTAGTTTGATCATAATACATTAAACACATATCCCATCAAAGACCATTGGAAGAATCGGGGCTGTTTCTGACTGGGCTTCACCTTCAACTTGCATTTCCTTGAAAAGATAAATCTTAGCTCTAATATCTGTTGTATGGAATTTCTCCCTAGACTACTAAGTATAAATACATATAAATATATGTATGTGTATATATCTTTAGGTATAGATAGATACAACTTATGTTTGTAAGAAAAGTGCATTTAGTGAAACAATTGGTTGGTGATTGTTAATTTTACTACAAGTTTGTCTCTATTAGTTTTTCAGAATGTTTTTATCTGAATCATTTTGCTCTGTCTGTCTGGGGTCTTGTGTCTGTACTTTGTAAAAAGCTAGAGAAAATTCACATAGTATACCCATTGATTGTGTGTGTTTTTTTCTTTTTTCTTTTTTTTTTGAGACGAAGTCTTGCTCTGTCACCCAGGCTGGAGTGCAGTGGCACTATCTCAGCTCACTGCAACTTCTGCCTCCAGGTTCAAGCGATTCTCCTGCCTCAGCCTCCCGAGTAACTGGGATTAAAGGCATGTGCCACCAGGCTAATTTTTGCATTTTTAGTGGAGACAGGGTTTCGCCACGCTGGCCAGGCTGGTCTTGAACTCCTGACCTCAAGTAATCCACCTGCCTCGGTCTCCCAAAGTGCCGGGATTACAGGCATGAGCCACCGTGCCTGGCATGGGTATGTTGTTTTTTAGATATGTTAAAAATTTAGTTTATAGTAAAATCTTATTGTCCTGAGAACTATTTTTGTTCCTTGAATATTTTTTCTATTTTCTTTTTTCTCCTGAGCAATTGAATATTGGTTCACTGTTAAATCCTCACAGAGAAATATTTTTCTCAAGTTCTTGGTGACATCATAATGTTCTCAAATATACCACCTGCAGAAATCTGTCCTAGTAGTAATTATAGCTTTCTTTGTGACTCTGGCCTTTCTCCTCAATTTTGTATTTATTCTGACATTGTCTTTTTTCTTTTTTAGCTGTTTCCTGTGTTGTCTTCCTAACTTTGCAACTTCTTAGGTGCCCACGGCATTCTTTAAATGCAATGTTTATAGTGCAGATTCTCTTCTTTTCTTTAAAGTCATACTTCTCCTGCCCTTAGCCTGGCCATCTTTTCTCAGCAAGAATCACAAATGGGACATATTAATAATTTTTCATAACCTTTAGTTATGTAGCATAGAACATTATTCAAGTCCTTGCACAACTCTCACTTTCAGCATTTCGACATAAAGAACGTTTGAATTTTTTAAATTTTCTTTCAGTCCAGGATTACTGGTTTGAAACAAAGATGTCAGCCCTAAAGCAAAGCACTTCTGCAGGATCTGTTGTGGGAGAGCGAAGGAAAAGTGTCATGATGGAAAAAGGCCTGGACTGGGAGGGCAGAAGCTCCACAGAGAAGAACTATAAGTGCAAGGAATGTGGGAAAGTCTTCAAATACAATTCGTCCTTCATTAGCCACCAGAGAAATCATACCAGTGAGAAACCACATAAGTGTAAAGAATGTGGCATCGCCTTTATGAACAGTTCATCCCTTTTAAATCACCATAAGGTTCATGCAGGCAAACAGCCTTATAGATGTGTTGAATGTGGGAAGTTCCTGAAGAAGCACTCAACGTTTATCCACCATCAGAGAATTCATTCTAGGGAGAAACCCCACAAATGCATTGAATGTGGAAAAACTTTCAGAAAGAACTCAATCCTTTTAAGTCATCAGAGAATTCATACTGGCCAGAAGCCCTACAAATGTAATGACTGTGGGAAAGCCTTCGCTCAGAATGCAGCCCTTACTCGTCATGAAAGAATACACAGTGGAGAGAAACCTTTTAAATGTAACGAGTGTGGGAGAGCTTTCAGGGATAACTCAACTGTGTTGGAACATCAGAAAATCCATACTGGTGAGAAGCCATATCAGTGTAATGAATGTGGAAAAGCCTTTAGGAAGAGCTCAACTCTTGTTAGTCACCAAAGAATGCATACTGGAGAGAAACCCTATCACTGCAGTAAATGTGGAAAATCTTTCAGGTATAGCTCATCCTTTGCTGGTCATCAGAAAACTCATAGTGGAAATAAACCCTATCAGTGTCGTGACTGTGGGAAGGCCTTTACAAAGAGCTCAACCCTTACTGGACATCAGAGAATTCATACTGGAGAAAAACCCTATCACTGTAAGAAATGTGGGAAAGCCTTTCGGCACAGCTCAGGCCTTGTTGAACATCAGAGACTCCATACTGGGGAAAAACCTTATAAATGTAATGAATGTGGGAAAGCTTTTCCCCAAAGTTCAGCCCTTAAACAACATAAGGAAATTCATAACAAAGAAAGAGCCACGAAATGTAGTTAGTGTGGCAAATTGTGCAGAGTAGTTTATTCCTTCTGACCGTCATAGAGGAGACATTAAATAAATCATGCATTTAACAGAAATACTCTGTGTACTTCTGCGAGAACATCTCACTTGTGAGGATATTCATTGTGAGGTTTGTACTAGTGAAATATTTGAATAAGCTAAATGTATGTCAGTACGGAAGTAGTTATAGCATACTGCGTGCTAATTGAAAAGAATGAGGTGGAGCTGTAAATACTGTACAAAGCCAGGCATGGTGGCATATGCCTGTAGTTCCAGTTGCTTGGGAGGCTGAGACAGGAGGATTGCTTAAGCCCAGGAGTTTGAGTCTGTAATGCACTATGATTGTGTGTGTGAATAGCCACTGCACTCCAGCCTGGGCAACATAGCAAGACTCCATCTCTAAGTAAAAAAATACGACAGTAAAAATATCCCCATGATACCTTGTTAAGTTAAAGAAGCAAGTTGCAGGAAACCTATATTATATGCATTCAAAAAGACCTGGAAAAATAAAGACCAATCTTAACAGCAGTTATCTCTCTCTGTGTGTCTCTCTCTCTCTCTCTCTCTTTTTTTTTTTAAGAGACTAGCTCTTACTCTTAAAGTAAGAGTACTTTAAGAGTAAGTATGCCATGTGATCATAGCTCACTGTAGTTTTGAACTCGGGCTTGAACAACTTCCCACTTCAGTCTCTGGAGTAGCTGGGGCTACAGGCATGTGCCACCACACTCAGCTAACAGCAGTTATCTTTGAGGAGGATGTAGAATAAGTTGAGCATCCATAATCGGAAAATCTGAAATCTGAAGTGCTCCAAAATCCAAAACTTTTCTGAGCACCAACAGGTGCAAAATTCCACAACAGACCTTATGTGATGGGTTGCAGTTAAAATGCATCTTCAAGATTCCTTATTTTGTGCGTGCAAATATTGCAAAGTCCAAAAAAGTCTGAAATCCTAAATACTTCTGATCTCACGCATTTCAGACGAGGGGTACTCAACCTATATTGGTATGATGAAGTGAAATTTTGACTTTGGCTGTGTTCTTTGAAATGAAATATTTAATCAGGCATCATTCATGTGTCTTCTGTAACTTAGTGTAGTTATCTTCCAATATGAGAAAACTCAGAAATCATAAAAACAAGACAAATGCCACACAGAAACTAAAAGCTTTTAGTTTCTGCAGCTAGAGGCTTCTCAGTATTAAAATACAAAGCGCTGAACTTGGAGAAAATATTACCATCATCATATTTAACAGATAACACTTAGAATATCTAGAGAGTCCTTAAAAATACATAAATATAAAAATTCCAGTGGAGAAATGGTCTTGGATATGAATGTACAATTATCAGAAAAATAAATATAAATGATTATGCCTACGAACTTTGACCCTTTGACCTACCATTTATATTTAAAATCTAATTAAAAAGTACAGTGTTGTAGTAATGAAGAGCTGGAGTCACTATAACGTCTGTCATCAGGGGAATGTTTAAATTAAGATACATGCAGTCTTTGGACTACCATGTAGTCACTCAACATTTAATTAAAAGACAGTCCTTTAATTAATTAACATTTGGTGAGTTAGACTTTTATGAGCTGACAGGGAAAGCTGTCTATAACATTAAGTTGAAAAAGATCCAAAGTAAAGAATAATAGTATAGTACTTCTTTTGTGTAGTCAATGCATTACCTGAATATTTTATGATAAAACTATATCACAGATATAGTTCAAAATGTAAAAGAAATAAAGCAAACTTGAAGAAGAATGTTATGAAATAGAAAATATCTAAGTATTCAACTCATGACTGAAAAGGGCCAGATTTAATCAAAAGAAACACAGTTGCACACACATAGATGATTGTTAGTAAGAACTGGTTAAGCTGCTTTGGATAACAGTTTGGCAACATGAATGTAAATCTAAATGTATGTTCTCATTGACCCAGAAATGCCACCCTCAAACATTTAAGGAAATAATTTGACTAACTTACAGAGCTTGTATTGCTCATCACCATTGGTTACACTAATATCCTGGAAAGATGTGGGAGAAACATGTAAGTAGGGAAATGTTTAAATAAGTTACAGAACTCTCATAGGCTAGCATCCCAGTTACTACAGATGTATAATAAACCATCACACACTTAGCTGCCAGTATTTATGCTCACAGATTTTGTGAGTCAAGGATTCAGAAAGGGCACAGCAGGAACAGCTTTGTAACCCCATGATGTCTGGGATTTCAGTTGGGAAAATTCAAGGTTGGAATCGACAGTTGGTCAGTGGAGTCATCTGAAGTGGCAACACTATGGTAGCCACAGGTGGCTACTGAGCAGTTGAAGTGAGGCCAGTCTGAATGGAGACTAGTGTGTTGATTGAAAATAGGACTGTAAGTATAAAATGTGCATCAGATTTCGAAGACTTTGTATAAAAAAAGAAACTAAACTATTTTAATGTTTTTATATTGACTGTATTTTAGATAGGTTAAACTAAATGTATTAAAATTGAATTTTAATGTGACTACTAGAAAATTTCCATTTACATATGCGGCCTACGTGTATGGTTCGCATGTTTCTATCAGACAACACAACTGAAGGCTCCATCACAAATTGGGTGGTTGATGCTGTTGGCTGGGACCTCAGCTAGGGCAGTTGCATGTGAACACCTACATGTGACCTTTTTATGTGGCTGCATAGGCCTCCTCAGCTTGGTGCCTGGGTTCTGGAGAGTCAGGCAGAGAAACTGTTATTGCCTGTTGTGATGTAGCATCAGAAATAACAGCATCTCGGCTGGGTGTGGTGCCTCATGCGTGTAATCCCAGCGCTTTGGACACTGAGGTGGGTGGATTGCTTGGGGCCAGGAGTTCAAGTCCAGTCTGGGCAACTTGGTGAAACCCAGTCTCTACAAAAAAATTAGCCAGGTCTGTGGCACGTGCCTTTGGGACATGTAGTGTCTGTAGTGGTGGGGAGGCTGAGGTGGGAGGATTGCTTGAGCCTGGGAGGCAGAGGTTACAGTGAGCCAAGATTGCACCACTGCACTCCAGTCCGGGCAACTGGAGTGAGACCTTGTCTCAAACAAAGAAACAACAACAATAACAAAAAATTTGGCGTCTCTTTCTCCATAGTCAAGCCTGTCCAAACTCAAAGGAGAGGGAACATAGACCATACTTTTTTGGAGGAGTATCAGAGTCACATTGCCAGAAAAGTATATTCAATGGAGTACATTATTACAACAATTTTGGAAAATATGATCTGCCATGGCATATGATACAACCATTAAAAAGGATAAAGTGGATATGTTGGATGAAGAAACAGGTTACAGAACAGTATCTGAAAGCTTATGGCAGCAGTTTAGAAGTATAATCTTTGGAGTCAGGGTGCAAGATGCAGCTTACCTCTTAATATATTTTGTGAAACCACTGGCTAGTTATATAGCCTATTGAATCATCTACCATGTACAGATAAAAAAAACCTAGTTTTGTTTAAAGGAGGTAAATTTGTAAAGTGCTTAGCTGAATACCAGATGCAAAGTGCAAGGTAAATGTTAGCTGGTGCTGTGTTAGTTATATTCATTTCTGTTTGTTTAAAAAGTGTATAGTATGTATACATATATACACGCACACATATATATGTACAGGTGTATATACATATATTTCTCCTATTTTTTAAAAAATATAAAATTAAAATTCTGCATAAAGATATAAAATAAAAAATTTCTCTCATATATATATATATATGAGAGGTCTCTTACAAAATTGATTAAAGATCTCAAAAGAACGTGCTCCACCATGATCTATATCCTGTGCACAAGGCTCAAGAGGGGCCAGTGGTTTTACCTGCTGTCAGACACCGTAAACAAAGCTTGGGTACTGGCTTGTCTTATTGAGGAAACCTACTTTAACATATGAAAACAAATAAAATATTTCAAAATGGTAATGATAATTGTGACATTTTTGGTAACGTATTTCATTTAAGAAGTTTTCATTTAAAACACTAGGGTGTTTATTCAAAATGGGACAAGACAGGACAATAAAAGAAAGCTGACCAATATTCCTTATCAGCATAGAAGCAAAAATCCTGAATAGAATATTAGCAAATAAAATCTAGCAATATATAGAAATAATAATATAGAATCATGATCAAATGAGGTTAAGGCTGGTTCAGTGTTTGGAAATCAATCAATGTAATCTACGTTAAAGAAGATTAAAGACCAAAGAGGAAAAACTGCCTGATCGTACCAATTGATGCAGCAGAAGCATTTGACAACATACAGCATCCATCCATGATACAAGTTCTCAGCAAGCTAGTAGAAGGGAAGTTCCTCAACCCCATAAAGGCCAACTATGAAAAACCTATAGTTAACCTCATACTTAATGGTGAAAGACTGAATATTTTCCCTATAAGATGAAAATAAGGTTAGGATATCTGCTGTCACTACTCTTGTTTTACATAGGACTGGCAATCCTGGCCAGTGCAATAAATCAAGAAAAGGAAATAAAAAGCATACAGATTGTAAAGGAAAGAGTGTAACTGTCTCTGTTTACAAAGGACATGATTGAATATGTAGAACATACAAAGGAAGCTATAAAAAGCAAAAACCGGCCAGGCGTGGTGGCTCAACGCCTGTACTCCCAGCACTTTGGGAGACCGAGGCAGCTGGATCACGTGAGGCCAGGAGTTCAGACCAGCCTGGGCAACATGGTGAAACCCCATCTGGATAAAATTACAAAAAATTAACCAGGCATTAAAGTGCATGCCTGTAATCCCAGCTACTCGGGAGGCTGAGGCAGGAGAATTGCTTGAACCCAGAAGGTGGAGGTTGCAGTGGGCTGAGATTTGTGCCACTGCACTCTAGCTTGGGTGACAGAGCAAGACTCTGTTTGAAAAAAAAAAAAAATCCAAGAACTAATAAGTGAGTTTAGCAAGATTATAGGATCCAAGGTCACACACAAAAAATGTTTCTACACACTAGCAATGTACAACTGAAAGCTGAGATTAAAAACAGTGTCATTTGCAATAGTTCATAAAATAATGAAATTCTTAGGTATAAATCAAAACATGCATAGGACCTGTACACTGAGAACTATAAAATGCTGATGAAAGAAAGAAAAGACCTAAATAAATGGAGAGACATGTCATATTCATGGATGGGAAGATTCACCATAGTCAAGATGTCAGTTCTCCATAAATTGATCTTTAGATTTAACAAAATATCAGTCAAAATCCTAGAAGGATTGTTTTGTAGATGTAGACAAGTGGATTCTAAAGTGTTATCCAAGGCAAAGGAACTGGAATAGCTAAAACAAGTTTTCACAAAACTAGAAAAAACTTTGACTCAGTTTACACAATTTAAGACTTTAAAGATTTAAGACTCTAAGACTGTGGTATTGGTGGAGATATAGAAATATACATAAGTGGATCAAAATAGTCAAGAATGGACCCACAGAAATATGACTAGTTAAAAAATTTTAAACGTGGGTGCAAAAACAATTCAATAGAAAAAGAGAAATCCAATACCATTTTCAACAAATGGTATTGGAGCATTTA